ACTTCCTGTCTTTTGCAGCTCTTAGTAAGTTTCGTTTATTTGCTAATCCCTGTTCTGCCAACGATTTACACATTTAAAGTTAGCTAATTTATTCACTTTTTTTTCCGTCCATTCTCCTTGAACATTCCTCCACAACTTGTTAATCTTTTTCATAGATTAAAAATTTGTTTATTTGCATTGAAATTGCAAATTTCTCTTGTCTCTGTTTGATTCTTTGACCATTCTACCTTGAACATTCTTATGAGTTTTCTTCGTTTGCCTATTCATGTTCAAATCATCGTATTCTCAGCATCCTTCAATGTTTTACATTTGTGATGCCCCTGTTTCAAAGTTTCCATCTCAAAACATTTGTTATTAATTCATTGTTTCGTCATTTGTAACATTCATTTGTTATTAATACATTATCATTTTTTGTATATATATATATATATATATATATATATATATATATATATATATATATATATATATTGGTTCTTGTTTCTTTACATTTCTTTAGGTGGACTCATATTCCGAGTTTGCCATGTTTGAGTGAGCATTTTTTTATATTTTACACACGTGTTTATCTCTCAACGTGTACACCGGCCCGCAACAAGATAAAACAGTGATAATAAATTGGCCCCTATTTTACTGAACCAACCCTTGTAATATAAAATCCTTATCATTTACCATTTTATAAAGTTCGAATTGACTGGCAATTAGCCAGTGTTTTGGTATTTCAATAAATAATATAATAATAAACAGTCTAAATAAACAATCTAATAAATAAATAGTGTTTATTGTCTTTGTTGTCAGTTCTCTAGAATAAAAAATAAAAAAATGTATAAATTCACAGCCGTCCTGGGTAAGACGATAAACTACATCCGGCAGCAAGGCATGAAACCAACTCTTGGTTGCTGGTGTTCCCAGGTCTGCCCTGATCTGGGTTTGTAGCACCTGTTAGGGTCTCAGCTATGTTAACCACCCACAAAAAAAAAAGCAAAAAAAAAAAAAAGCAGTCAAAACACTATGAATGTATAAAAATAGGTTTTACTACAAGTAATACTTTTTCGAAAAAAGTATACCAGCAATTATTACCAGCAATACATTTTTGGAAAAAATATTACCAGCGATACATTTCTGGAAAAAATTATCACAAGAAAAACATTTTTTTTTAAATATTACCAGCAATACATATTTGAAAATAACATTACCAACAATACAGTTGTTAAAGAAAAAAATTATCAGCAATACTTTATTGGAAAAAAAAATATTACCAGCAATACATTTTTGAAAAAATATTATCAAAAAAACATTTTTGGAAAAAAATATTACCAGCAATAAAATCTTGTCGGCATTAAATAACCCATTGAGGTTGGTATTGCCGTAAAACAAACAAACAAAAAACAAACCTATAAATTCACTTTCATATGTTTAAGTTTTATTACAATTCTAATCATCGCTTTTTAAAAGAATAAACATCGCCGAGGAGTGAAGGTAGTTAAAATAATACCGGTGTCAACGGAAAAGACCATGCTTTTGACACTCCGTTATTTTTGCGGTCACGAACATCAATGTTTGCCAAATATTATATACATAATTCTATAAAAAGATTGGCATAAAAGAAAATTCAAATAAACTACAAAGAACTGTAATTATGAATTATGTAGAAGCAGTTTCTAAAATTACGTGCAGTTAACCCGACAATCTTTCCGGAATAATCTTGAATAACATTGAATAAATTTCTTGACTATTGATGACATTGAATAAGCATTCGACTCTCGCGTAATTGCTTAATTCTGATTGGTTCTTTTTATGATTGAACAATTGCTGCTCGATCTTGTGATTCGTCATTTGAACCTTATTTGCACGTAACTTTCGCTTTTCTTTGTGTGCCCTTCTTTTAGGGCTAAACATCTCACTGATTTTGAATGTCAAGTAATCGGACTTTTCAAAGAAGAACATCCGACGTGGGGATTGACGAAATGAGCAGAAATTCTTCCTGGATTTTTCAGTCTCATCAGTCATCACCAGTTTTCAACGATTGTCTCACATCTTTCTGGATTTATAGCTTTTTTTACTGGACACACTGTAGTTGAACATTAGCTTTCTGTTTTATACTAAAATCATGGCTAAAATTTCTGCTGCGACAAAGATGAATGATGGTGACATTGAAGAGAAAATTATTCAAGGCGAGATAGCCAGCCAACAGTAAATTTCCAGAAACAGTGTTCAGATCGTACAAAAGACGTTTTCCTATTTTTGGAAATAAAACCAGAAAATCACAAAAGTTAGAAATGAGAGCAAAAAGAAAGATTGAGATTATCAGTAGGGAATCCAAAATTAATAGTCAGACGAATGGCTGCTTGATCTTGTGACTCGTCATTTAAAGGTTCTGTCTTTCGTTCTGACTTTCTCATATGGCTAAACATCTCACTGATTTTGTGCGTCAAGTTATCGGACTTTTCAAAGAAGAACATCCGCAGTGGCGAATGTGCAGAAATTCTTCCTGAATTTTTCACTCACATCAGTCGTCGTCAAGTTTTCAACGATTGTCTCAAGTCTTTTTAAATTCACCGCTTTTTTTACTCGCCACCCTGAGGTTGGCTCACATATTTTAGTAAATGTTTATAAATTCATGAATAAAAAAAGGTTTTCACATTTATTTCTTTATAAATTGGTGAATGATAAATATTGCATATTGTTGTAAATATAAAATTATTCTTGTAAATAAGAAATATAGGAACAACTGTTTGATATATTTGTAAATTCTCAAGAACAAAAAATGTATAATTTCACTTTCATCATATGTTTAGGTTTTATTATGATTCTAATTATTGCTTTTTAAAACAACAAACATTGCTGAGGAGTGGAGGTAGTTAAAATAATAGCGGTGTCAAGGGAAAACTGTCCTTTTTTTTGAGAGAATGAATTTCAAGTTTGCCAAAAAATTGTATACATTTGTATTAAATTATAATATGATAATAAATATTACATTGTAGTTGACATATTTTTATAAAAATTGTAAATATAAAATTGTTCTTGGTTTGGTTTGTTTTACGGCATATCAACCTCAATGTGCTATTTAATCCTGATAAGGTTTTTATGGCTGTTAAATTTTTTTTCCAAAAATGTATTGCTAGTAATATTTTTTTTCAAATATGTATTTCTAGAAAAAAATTAAAAAAAAAAACCTCTTTTGTATTAAAACCTATTTATATACTCTCATAGTGTTTTGACCCCATTTGGGGGTTGGTAAGTATTTGCCCATAGCTGGGGCCCTGAAAGGTGCTACCACTCCGGGTCAGAGTGGACCTGCGAACACCAGCAATTAAGAGGTGGTTCTACGCTTCTCAAAACCTTCTGATCAGAGGTCTTGCTCTCGGATGTAGTTTATCGTCTTACCCAGGACGCGAAGGTTGTTTATCGACTTACCCAGGACGCGGAGGTTGTTTATCGACTTACCCAGGGCACGGATGTAGTTTATCGTCTTACACAGGACGCTGAGGTAGTTTAGTGTTTTTTCTTAATTCTCGAGAAAAAATATTTCAGTTTGGGTTTTATTAAAATTTTTAAAAAGATTTTTTTTAAACAATAACAATTGTCTGGGAAGATTACAGAAATAGCAGTATCAAGGGAAAGGTCGTCCTTTCGACCCACCGATTCCGTTTTTTTTTGTGGGTACGGATGTTAAACTTTGACAAATATTCATCACCTTTTGTTTAATTAATTTAATTTTCATTCTTTTACATTCTCCGCACAAAAGACAATTAAAACGAAAATAGGAATACAATTAGCCTTCTTCAACACCATCGTTTGCACATAGATTTAATTGATCGGCTTGTGTCTCCTCAAGGGTCCATTTACTGCTCGGCTGCATCACTAAACTGCCAGCCAATATGCCGCCAAGGAGTTCCTTCTTCGTCTGCTTCGCTTGGCCGCGTTATTATTTTATAGAAGCCAGAGCTCTTGGTGTTCGTCTGTCTTCACTTTCCCGCCAGTACAACTCTTTAAATTAATATGGCGTCAGTGACGACTGGTTCATTGAGTGCAAGGAGATCGATCCAACGTTTTATTGTTGGTTTAAGGAAAAAAAAACAAAAAAAACGATGTTATTTACATTTCAACACTTTCTTGTTTTTCTTTAGCTTTTGTCAATTTCTTTGCACTCTGTCTAGAACATTTAGTTGAAGTCGCACGGATATACCGGTCCTTGCAGTAGGTCGGAATGCAAAAGGAGATTTCTTTTCTTTGTCTTTTTTTTTTTTTTTACTTATGCATATATCTACAAATGCATACATACGTACGTACCAATATTGCAGGTTCGTGTTTATGCGGTCTCAGCGTGTCAATATACATTTCTTCAACTGTTTTTTTTTTGTGTGTGTTTCCCTTGTAATGTAAAAAGCTAGACGTGGTCGGTATTAAAATACTTGAAGTGGGATTTGCACGTATTATTTTATTCCACAAAAGAGTTGAATTGTTTTTCACAAATATATATATTTCTGGCTGAAACATTGAAATGGATGAATTCTGTATTAGTTTTTCGAATGTTTTTTTAGCTTTCACAGTTAAATTTCTATATCTGACACGAACTCAGTCCACAAAGGAGTTGATAAAACAGACGACCTATATTTTCCTCTGCAGAAATAAGCTATTCCCCATATGAGGTGATTTGCTCTGTAATAATAAATGCATTGAGATCTTTTTGTGTATCAGTTTTACTATTTTATATTACTAAGATCCACTTGGATTATATACTAAAATGAGTTGGACCTTTATATATATATATATATATATATATATATATATATATATATATATATATATATATATATGCATATCAATAATTTCATAAGAAACATTCAACATTCAAATCCTGTCATTTGAAATTTAACATTCAACATTCAATTTTTTTACTAAAATGTCATTTGAAATTTAAAAAATTATGTCGAGTCTTTCTTAAAGGTTTTTTTCAGGAAAATGGGTTTCTATTATCTAGACTGAATTTTTAACGAAGAAATTTTTAAAAATTGTTGACAACTGGCAAGTAATATAAATCAGGTGGTGGTTTTATTGAAAAAAAAACAATATATGAGGCTGTTGTATATATTTTTATTTTAGTTAAGACTTTATTTTTTTATCAACTACAAAAAAAAATAAAAAAACATACGCAAATATATTATTTTTAAGTTGCTTCTAAAGAAATGCAAAAGGCCCAAACCCGTTGGTAAATTATTTTTAATAGTATATATATATTAACACTTGCTAATGTTTAACGTTTCTATTTTTTTATAGATACAATATTTAAGCAAATGCTCTGTTTATGATAAAAATTTCGTAAATTTTTTACAGGACAAGAACGAAAATTTTCATATGAAAATTTTTCGGACATTTGACAGGACCGGTAAATGTTATTTAATACTGTTTATCATAAACAGAGCATTTGCTTAAATACTTGTATCTATAAAAAAAAACAACGTTAAACATAAAAAATATGTCTTTAATAAATAAATTGTCGGACCTTGTCCATTTTTTTATATATATATATATATATATATATATATATATATATATATATATAGGTGATTGAAAAGTAACTCCCTATTTTATGTATGAGTGGCCAGCAAGGAGTCCTGACTTAACAATCTGTGACTGTTTTTCTTCGAAGTTGCTTAAAGGAACAAGTCTACTTAACTAAACCAAGACTTTGGAAGAACTTGAAGGGCGAATTCAAGAAATTATGTCTTCCATGGCACAAGAATTCTTGGCGAAATCAGTTGACGTGGTTCCTGGGTGGCTCGTGAAGCTGGTAGCGAAATCTGGTGCCCACGTTAAATTTTAAATAAAACCTCAAGCTAAACGCTTTCCTCTCATAGCCATTTCTTATAAAAATTATAGTTGATAAATAACTTATAGTATTTATATGGTGGGGAATTTTCAAACAACTTGTGTGTATATATATATATATATATATATATATATATATATATATATATATATATATATATATTTAATTAAATAAGTTTTTCGTGGTCAAAAGAAAATTAAAATTAATAAAAACTAAAAATAAAAAAAAAACTTTTAAATAAAAATTCTAAAAAAATACATTTTTAAAAATAAAATAAAACAAAAAAAAAAATCAAAAAATAAAATAAAATTACCGGTTTCGTCCCAGGACTTATCAAACTATATATTCTGTGAATTTAAAACTAAAATAAATAAAATTAATTTGTAAAATAAAACAAGAGAGGAAAAAAATTTTGAATTTAAAAGAAATTAATCAATTAAATCCAAAACTAAAAATCCAATTAACCTGAATCAGAAAAATTGTTCCAATTTATATATATATATATATATATATATATATATGTGTGTGTGTGTGTGTGTGTGTGTGTATATATATATATATATATATATATATATATATATATGACTGAATACCTTCTTTAATATATTTATTTTCTTATGGATTTTTTTTGATATTAACGTAAAATAAAAAAGCAATAAAAAATTAAGTGAAGATTTCAGTCATTTAAATTAAACATGTATTTGAGAGGGACTGTTATCCATACACTGACACACACAGCGTATATATATATATATATATATATATATATATATATATATATATATATATATATATATATATATATGTATATATATATATATATATATATATATATATATATATATATGTGTGTGTGTCTGTGTGTGTGTAAGTTTCTGTGTGTGTATTTGGATGCATACATACATATATATATATATATATATATATATATATATATATATATTATGCAGGGTTACATTAGAATATGCGCATACTCATTACAAGACTGTACATCTTGTTTCAACGTTAATTCTTTTTTTAACGTCTCATCAGGTGGGAAACTACGATGCTATATATATATATATATATATATATATATATATATATATATATATGCACATATATATTTATAATGTAAATCAGGTTGCACAATAAATTTAGTATATATTTTTATGATGAATATACCATATGAATTTCAGCTTATAATTTATACAAGATATCCCTATAATATATACGTGATGTCCCTATAATGTATATGAGATATGCTTTGATATGGACAATAAAACAAGAACAACCTTTCTACTGAGTGTATTTTCTATCTTACTGCTTCAAATAAGAGTTTTTTTTTAAGCTGAATAAAAATATCTGTAAACGTCTATTTGTATATAATACGACCCCCTCCCCCGCCACCACTTCATTGGCTTTAATTCTCGTTCAAAATTTCTCGTATTATTCACAGGAAAATACGGTAACCATTTTTCTATTCGAGTTGTGGGGGGAGGGATAGAAATGGAACTGAACTCTGCAAAATAAATCTTGTCGCTGTGCTTTGTTTGGTGAATTTCTATTGACTAACAATCTTGTTTATTTATTTTTGGGGAAGGGTTTCGTTCCATTTCAGCAATACATGCGTTGACCATTTTATGTATGAAGAGTGAAATGTCTGCCTGGCTGCGTTAGGCGAAGCTATC